TCAGTTGGAAGGTACTTAAAACAATCATCTAAGTAAGGAATGAAAACTAGGAAATGAAGCTTTTTGGTTGCAATATGTAGAAAGACTGAAACACATCTTTTCAGCACCACAAGAAATAAGCCAGTGTGTTATGTTGTTACAGAAACATTGACTTAGGTATGTAAGTTAGCTGAACATTATCTGTGGAAAAAACTATAAATTGGCATTCTACTGGCTGTAAATCTTCTAGTAACCAACTGGCATAAAAAAAAAAATTCCTACACAATATATAGCTTTAGAGTAATCTTTTAAATAATTGGCAGAATATTGAAAGTGCATGCCTTAAGTGAGCTTTAATGGGTTGTTCATGGAAATGCTGTTTTATCTTGTTGTTTCAGGAGAGTAAATTCAAATGTTTGAAGAAAAGCAAGTAGTATTTATAAACAATTTTAGAATGCATAAACCAGCTAATAGATCTGATAATTTAGCTGTTTAAAATTTGCAGTTTTAACACCTGTACATCTTCAAATCTCTCTTACTCTTTTTGGTAAGGCTGGCAGCAGAAGCCCATGTTCTTAGTTGCACTAAGAATTTTTAAAACTTGGGGCTAGTTTCTATATAGTTACTCTTTAATTATATGGTTATAAGTTGTTAAATGTTTTTTTTTTTTAAAGTTTAGTAGCAAATACCTTCTTTTGTCAGGATGTATGTCTTGTTTATTGAAGTTATAGAAATTTATTACTTAACATTTAATTACAGGGAAAGACCCAAATGTGTCATGTAAACTTCAGAGATGCATGTCCTTGTGCCATAGCTTCTAAAATACCATTAAAATGGGGACTAAAAATAACAATCCGTATTTTGTTAATGCTCCTTTAGTTGATGTTTTAAAAAATTGCTGTTGACAACCTTGTCACAGAATAAGACTAACTGGACACTTGTGTTCAGTCAGATAAGGCTTTATCTACTCAAGAGACACTTGTTCCTGTGAACATTCCAAATATAGAGCTAATAAATCATTAAAGGAGAATGCTGCATTACTTTCTGTCTTATATATTCTTAACAGCAGCGTTACAGGTGCAAAAGGTCTTTATTTTGGGTGATGTGCCAGTTGCTAAACGTTAAGTTTCATCTTTTAAGCTAAATTTACAATGCTAAAAAATATAAATATCCTCATATTTAATGTAGATAATGAACATGGTTCATGGGAAGCAGCGATATTGCTTTTCTTGTTATGCACAAACACACAACGCCTCCGACTTCCAATTTAAAATCTGAAGCTAAGACTACTACTGAAATACTGAAATGTAGTTGACAGCCCTTGTTGTTAGAGGCTCATAAAAGTAATGTGTAGTTCCTATTTCATAATCACTGTAAAAAAATAGAAAAATGTGAGATTTTAAGAAGCTAGTCTAGACAGAATTGACTTTTGCTGCCCTAAGGGCAACAATAAAACTTTTTAGATCAAAGCATCAATGTAATATGCATGCCACCATCACACTGGAACATTGACTTTGCTACATAGTGGGACAACGTGGATCTTTCTTTCCCTCTCTAGACCCTGTAGAAGGGTTTTCACAATCAGAGTTTATTTCTAAATGGATAGGAGCAAGCTAACAGAGACCTTGCAATTTAGTTTTTCTAACTTTAGAGGAATTAAATTCTATTCAACCTACTTAACCTCTAGCCATACCCTTGTAAACAATTGTGAAATGCACGTATCATTGGGGAGCACTAGAATTGCTTTTAGTAAGGAGCAGTTATCATAAATTTTAAGCATCCAAAAATATTTCTGCTAGGGTGCATCACATGATTTTATGCTGCCTTCAGCATGACTGAATTTTCATAGCTATTTTAAATAACCTAAGCACGTATAGCTCTTGACAAAAGGCTATTCCCACATCTTCTCCTAAATGATTTCTAGTAGTAGAAGTATGAGATTGCCCATATCACAGGTTTTTTTTTCAAATGAGAAAAAAATTAATTCAACTCCTTGCTCTGGAACTACTAGTTTTTTTGTTCTTGATTTCTTTGTTGCAGCTGTGCACTAGACACATTGTTGAAGTGTACAATGTTTAGCATGTGCTGTGGGTGCAATTAGTTTTAAAGCCCTTTCCTGCATGATTTCCTTCCTGATTTTTTTTAATTGTGAAGTCAATGTGCCTGAAGCTTATTATAGTGTTACAGAAAGGGTGGGGAGAAAAAAGTAAGTCATTACATCTTCACCCCGTACACAGGGATGATGTAAGACCCATGACAGTCAGTTTACATACTAAAAACAAAGCACACAAGCATAATACAGGCTGAAGCCTTCTTACTCAAAACTAGCTTTATTTTTAAAAATAAGTTGAATGCATAGCACTCACAAAGATTCCATTGTTTTGGACATTTTGCATTTAGGAGCACCATTCTTATTTATGCCATAAAAAACACATTTTGGTTCTAATAGTAAGAACAGTGTATATTTAATGTACACTGGTAAAGCCCTTTTAAATAATATATTGAAACTGTTCAGTGTACATTTTCTCTGTAGTCATTATGCAGCTGTAGTGTAAGAAAAAACTCAAACTAAGTAATAAATTAAAACCAAACAGAATATAGTGGATCTTTTTACAGTTGACCTAATGTCTTAAAATAGTCAAAAAAATCCTATCAAATGTAAATTTGCAGTATTAACTAATTGAACAAGCCCCCCGCCCATTACAATTCCAGTGTTAAGTATTAGTTAAAAGTTTTATACATCAAATGCCTAAGGGATACTAATACCCAAAAAATGAAGAGCCTATACTGCTGTGTCACAAATAAAGATGACAAGTTAGCTGATTTAAAGATTTTACAGAAAAAAAAAAATTGCTACAGGCATGTGCTATTATTTCAAGTCATGGTCTATTACAAGACTGTACATTCATAGCATCAGAGGTAGTTGGAGGACTGAAGACTTGGATATATCATTGCATCAAAATGAAAACAGCAGAAAGAAGTCCATTTCCCTCTTAGATGGGTAACAGAGCTGAATAAAATCATGGCATGTCATGAGGTGGAAAGTTGCTACTTAACACTCTTAGACATATGGAAATATTCATTCACGAATGATGAAGAGAGCTGGGGGCGGGGGGAACAAACACCAAAACCAACTGCACATTAATTAAGAATTGACCACACTATGCCTATTTCAAAATTAATTCTCTAGCATAAAGCAGGGAGTCTCATCTCTTTCATTCACCCTCCTATCCCTCTTGACTTACACATATATGCTACAAAAGCCCACAACAAAAATTGGGATTTATGGGAAAAAAAAAAAAACAAAACACCAATCAAAATGAAAACCAGGATTTCTTCTCCTTAACAATAAATATTTTTTTTTTGTATCATGTTAGCAATTTCATCCCAGAAAGAAAGAACACAGCTGTCCTCCCTCCATTCTGAACATTATGGTAAGGCCTCCTCTCCTATGATAAAGCCTTCATCTTAATATTAATAATGTATTTTAATTGCCCCACTTTCAAAACAGCCTCTTCAGTGTCATTAGATAGTACACAGTTTTAAGTGCTGCCACTAAGGAGAAAAAAAAGGTGGTAAAAGAACAAATGAAACAATCAAAGCCTTAAGCCCACATACTATAAAGATATTTTAAAGTACTAGGAATCCTGTCATCCATACCTCTTCCTCCAATATTCTACTACAGGAGAAAGTCAGGCATCTTCTTGTACTTAAAAAAAAATATCCTCCATTGCTACCTCTACCACCATTTCCATCCAAGAGTTGGATGAGTGAAGCTTTCTACCCTCAAACTGTCTACTCCACAGGAGATAGTGTAATTCCATAGTTACATAATTAGCACCTTAATTGTGATAAAGCAGTTAATTCTGCAATATATTTTTGATCCACCCGTTTAGAAAAGTAAATCTCTATTTTTCTTCTAGAACTCCCAAATAACAGAAGAAAGAGTTGCCACACCTACTACCTGAGAATTTCCCTCCACTATAAGCCTGACAGGACTGAATTTCTATGAGCATTTAACTGTACTTTTTTTTGTACAAGTGATGCTGTCAGTACAACCGGAGGGTGCTTTCTGTTGGTTAAGAATACGTGTGTGTGTGTGTGTGTGTGTGTGTGTGTACACAGAGGAATCACAGCCACTGTCGTAGTTCTGGTATAATACAAGCTCAGCTGAAACTTTATCTTCAGTTACTCGGTACCACACACCTACATTCTGTGGACACTAGCATATCCCTTTGGTACTCTGCCACGTAGATGCCCTGAAGAATAGCCACTCCACTTGCTCTAGTCTCTTCCCTCTCTGCCTTCCTCCCTCATGTTATACCCAACTAAGTGTACAAACCGGCAACGCGGAGTAATGAGGAAAAATTCCCTGAGTTAGTATGAAAGAGTTACTTTAAACATAAAAAGAAGCAAAACCATAGTGTCTATCTTGTGAGGTACAAAACTTAAAAACTAGCCAAAATACCAGTTAACTCAAATGCTTTAGCCTAAAGCAAATATCCAACACAAAGGGGCAAGAGTATGAAATTGGCCAGGTGAGATTTGTTTCTTCCTGTGGTCCCCAGGTATCTGGAGCAGTCTAGCATGCAATGGATTCTGAAGTTTCAGTAAATTTAAAGTGTTAATACTGCATGGTGGTATTACATAAATGTCTTCAAAATAATACTGCATATCTCCTTCATTAAAAGGTAAATCTGTAGTTACTCCACAGCTATTTTTCTTTTGACTTTCTTCTCAAAGATGTGCATTAAAAGCACAGAGTATTCTGAGCACCAGAGTAAGAACTTATTATCCCCAGGTACACACATTGTTTTTAGAGGGTGTTCTGTGTGCTTGCATTTTTAGCCTGTATTTGAGCTATGGTACTGGTTGCCAATCCAGTTGCTTTTTTTCTGTAAAGACACTTCTTTTTATTCAATTCATTGTCCTCAAACTTTTTGAGGTTTAACAAAAGAACCAATTCCCTTCAGCACAACTTCCCACCCAAAACAAAGGAGCACAAAACCGTGTGGTACTTATCACCTCTCAAAGCAGGGGGTGATACAGGAATATCGTCCGTTCACTTGGTAGCTCCGGTTGTAGGAGGCGCTTATACAGGGCTTCACTTCCAGTGGAACGGCCAGTGACACTGCAGCTCCAGTCTGGACATGGCCACGAGCCTGAACACTAGACTGTAAGGCAGCAGGGCAAGTCTGAAGTGGGTAAGATGCTGTATGATTAGATGATAATATCTGTTGACAGTTTTGTTGCTGTGATGTCTGATGGTGATACTGTAATGAAGACTGATGAGCCTGGAGATACTGTGGTACGTGTTGCTGAGCGTTAGCCTGCTGGGGACTTGGAGCTGAGGTCTGAAATACAGTATGTTGGGCAGACTGAGCTTGTTGTCCTTTTTGCTTGTTTGCTTCCTTCACATCATTATCATGTGCGCTAAAGCAAATTGAGAAGGCAGAATACGTGAAAATGGGATTAAAATAATTTAAACCCTTTTGGGTTAACTTTTAAGAGCACCCTAAAAACCAGTGTGATTATATGAAAGCTTCCAAAGCTTTTATAAAACAAGGAAGTGAAAATAATTTTTGCCTACCCTTTAAAAATCACCCAAGGTTTTATAAGTTGTTTCTTTAAGATACGTTTTCATTTCAGTATTTTTTTTCACTGCATAGCAATACAAAATGCAGATAAAAGCCAAGTACAATAGAAATAATACAGCAGTATCTAAAATAACCAGTGCAAAAAAGTCTACTAGTGTACTGCAATAAAGTGTCAGATTACCAGAACCTGAAATTAAAGCTTACTTGCTGCTTTTACCTCATTTAAATTGGGTAACAGAGTATAGGGGTTTTAAAGACAGAGATAAAGATACCAGAGGGTTTTGGGATTCTGTTCTAGGGAGTGGAAATACCTTTTTTTTTTTCCCCCTTTTTTCTTCCTCTCACCTTTTTTCTAGCCCACCCAGTAGCTGAGTTAGACAGCTTAGCTCACTCAAATTCCCTTTGATTTACACCTGTCTGAAATGTATTTAGATGTACTCTCTTATGCTGAAGTTAAGCAGGTGCCACCTACACACTTCAGTCAGACATCTGAGTTTTTTGGTACTGCCTGTACAGGGCAGATCTCTTGGAAGATAGTTGGAGTTCAATCTTTACCAATAGGAAAAACTGGTGAACTTTTTATGGCACACTGCAAAGATGACTGAAAGGCTTCACCCCCACCACTCAAGTGCTCCAGAGCAATACTGAAAACACTTCAGTAACAGCACTTGCATGATTTAGGTACTAGTCCTTTCATTACATGCATTAATGAAGCCAAAAGAGGACATTTGGGATGATAACGTCACACTTCAGGAAGATGCGATTCTTCCAGATACAGCTGTTCCTGTGCATCTGTAGAGCACAACTATGTTTAGATCCAGACAAGAGAGCAAAATACTGTAGGAGGAAAGCATTTATAGTGGGCATAGGTTTTGATCCCAAGGTTTAGAATAAAAACTGATTGTGCAACGTCCCCTCCCAGTAAGGACCACTTGGCATTCATTGGCATTTTCATCTCATGTCAGCTGTATCTCTTTACTGTAGTGCAAAAATGGATACGACAAAAATAGCCACAGCCTCCTGGTCATTTCCTCCCACCAAAACTGGCCACTCAAACAGACTGCACATTTGACCCATGATCTGTTTGGTGCATCCCTTGAACTTCCAAGGCATAAAGTAGGAGCTCCTATGCCTTCAGTACTCTTCACCATCTCTTTTTGCTCTCCGAGTAGACTACAGATATTGTGAAAAAGATATTTAACAGATTCTCAAAGCATGCCAGAAGTTGTTCAGTGGAAATGCAAGGCTGAGGTTTGTTTGTTGGAAAAACAGGAAAGAGGTTAGATCTGATAAGGTTTTCTTTTCTGGAAAAAAACAAAACAGTTATTACCTAATTCCTAAGTATTTTTAGGGTGGAAAGACCGAAATTCAAAAAGAAAGGTACTTTCAGTGCTAACAGCAATTAAGCATACCAACAGATGCCAAAACAGGCTTTAAAAGAAGCTGCTGCTGTTAACTTACATTAGCAGCCGCTCGATACATGGCACCAGGAACTCCCAGGAATACGCAGTGAGGTGGTGCAGTCGGGTAGGCCAGGTCGGCGAGAGACGCAAGATAATCCTTGAGGAAGCTACACACGCAGCAGCAACTAAAGAAGGGGCGTAATTTAAAAATGCATGATCTAGAAAGGGGGAGTAAGAAAATGATTTAAGTTGGACGTTGTCTGTCGAGACGACAAAGGAGTCGTTACCTGAAAAATATAACTCACCTTGCAGTGATACTTCCAGAAAGTAATCAGCATATTTTGCCATATATAACTTAGTCTTCTCTAAGCAAACCATTGGCCAGCCGTCATGAAGGTCAGTCTCATGGACAGCAACAGAAAGATAATAGTCGATGAAATGAGCAGCAGTTGGGAGGCACAAATTCCACTGAAATGTTTCTAGCAACAACAGCTCCATATGAAGCAAATTCTGTTTTGTTAGTACCAAATTCATGTTAGTCATACAACCCAAGCTGTTCAACTGCTCAAGTTTGGGAACACTGTCTTCCTTTTCTTCAAATTTACCTTCAGGTGAACAGAAAGAAGAGGGGAAAAGATTCAGCACAAGTGAACTATAAAACAGATTGCATCTTATGTCTGCCTTGATGATATTTCAATTCTACTATGTCAAACAAGCTTGAGATTTTCCTGCAGATGCAAATTGCAAATGGAAGATGTCATCAGAGACAAAAAGGGGCACGTACTATAGAAGGGTTAAATTTCAGCAGATAATGTCAAGCAGTCTGCAGGATATTGTGCAGTGTTGTGTTTCCTATTGCTTTTCCCACCTTAACACACAGATGCCAGTTACCAAGAGCAGAAGTAAGCTGTATTAGGACATCACTGGCACTGCACATGCAAGCTCTTGCCACCAAATCATGGTATAATGCATCCCCATCATCAACAAAATACAACTGTGATGTCACTTGGCATACATGACACCACAGCCTTTGGCTTTAACACCCCCCCCCCCCCCCCCCCTTTTATTTCTAAAACTTGTTAAAGTATAGCTGGAAATCTAGCCAACGTGGCTGCTTTTAATGCCTCTTATGGTAGGTATGGTTTATAGATTTGACAGCTGGTGAGCTGCTCCAGCAGTTCAAACCAGTGGATTTCAGCAACGTGCATCCAAAACCCCACACTGCTATATATACTGTTTCAACTCTAACACTGCTAGCAGCTTCAGCTTTCCTTGGACTTTAACTTGTCAGGCTTGTATGATTTTAGCCTCAAGCAAAATTGTATGTAGAAAACCTATTAACAAGAGAAACAAGTGTCACGTTTCCACACAGTTTGCCACATGGTTGTGCTATTTCAATTTCATTGCAAATTCTTTCCGTCTTACACTCTATTCTTACATTCTGCATGGCATCTTGTAAATGCACATTTTTAGAGAGTTTTGCAGGACTGAACATACTGAATGTTTGCTTTTTTCCAAAAGTAGAGGTACTTAGCCAACACTTAGTCCAACACCAGTCTCAGTCTGTTAGTTTTTGCTTCCCATTATCTAGTGATTACAGAAATAAAAGCTTCAGGAGTCGCATAATAATTTCTCTTATTACTTCTATAATGTTATCAGATTAATCATCTGATCACATCACAGTGTGATTTGTCCAACTCACTGCACTGCAGATTAAACTGTTTTTTTAAGCTAGAGAGGGCAAAAGTTTAGAAGATTGTTCTGGTTTGTGCTTTCTGAACCAGTATGTACACTGCTTCTCAGGCAACTGAGTAACTCCAGCTTTCCAAAGCTCTACTTGCAGCTTGTCATGAAAGATGGCAGAGGCAATTTTTGTTGTTGTTGTTTAAAAAAAAAAAAAAAAAAAAATTATAATTCTCTTCAGAACTTGAAATTAATTTGAAAATCTGGCATTAGTTCAAAGCCAATGGATTTTCCCAAATGGATTACACTGGTTTCTGAGCAAAATTTTGATACTCAGCACCTCATTTTTTGCCAAGAGAAGATTGCTGGCTGGTGGCATCCAGTCAAAGTTTACCCCCAGAAGAATCTGCAATAACCCTTTTCCTGTTTAATTGTTCTGCTGCACAATTGTATTGGTGGAGATGGGGGATGCAATGAAGGAAAGCAGTATTCCAAAACCAGCCAACACCTCAGCGCTCTGGTTTTCTAGTGAAGAATGCTTACAGCTACAACATGATGTATCTGATTTAAGAAAATGAAAATAAAGTCAGAGAAATGGATCATCAGAAACTGAACCAACAGTTCTGCTGTCAGGATCTGTTTCTCTAAATCTGTTGTTTAAGAACAAGTGCCAGCAGGTATCCTGGCAAACTAGACCCATATTTCTTTAGGGACATCTAAAAGGGGTCCACAAATGCTGAAAGATGGATACCCACCACAATAACCTAGCCAAGGACAACACAAGCAGCACGGTTCATAATGAGCGTCTGTCATTAACTCCGTCTTCAGAGTACTGTGCACCCACCAATGTATTTCACCAGCATTACATTTTGTGTGTAGGAATACAGGATTTATGTTAGCTTCTTCAAAGAACAGTGCAATTTATGAAATCTGAAATATGCCAGAACCACAGAGCACCATCGGCAGGGTGCAGTGCAGCCTGCGTATGGCTTAATTTCTTTTTTTATCACAGGTATGCAAATGTCTCATTTCCAGCACTGGATCTACCAATTTTAAGGTGTCCTCAGAACGACCGTCTTTCTCTTCCTAAAATACAGCTCTGAAAGTTCATCTTAGAAAAATGTTTCCAAGCATAAAGATTAGTTTTTAACTGCAGTTTGTTTTTCCTCCCCTCAGTTTCATTAGGTGCCAACAGAAGCCAAAACAAGAGTCTAAAGAAAGGCTCTACCAATTGGGCCAAACTGATACACACTAATCTGCCTGCCTTTTATGACCACTTTGTTTCTCTTATTTGCTATATCCCACCAAGACACACTTTGTATTTGGCAGTAGAACCTAAATCAGTCTAGTTAAAGCTTGGTGCCACATACTTACTTGCTAAAAGTAAACAGGAAAGAGCAACCACATGTAGCTGCTGTATAGATATGTCATAACGATCCATAAAGAGGTCCAACAGATACACAGCTAGATGTCGTGCAGCAGGACAGAGTCTGAACCGATTGCTCACAATGGCTATCAGATCTGCAAAGTATCTTCTCAGGTGTAACTGGGGAGATTGGCCTTTGTAGGAGGGCAGCTTCAGCTCCTAGATGGACAGCAGCATGTAATTTTATTAAAACCGTGATTTAGTTTGAATTGGTATCAGATAAGCATAACTGATGTTCTCAAATTTATCATGGAATTCTCAAAGGAATTCTCCCCTCTTCTTTCTGTTCCCATCATCTCAACATCCCTTTTCACACAACAAAATTTATTTGTTGTATTACAGAAGACCTAAGAAATAATTTGTTTCTGCACAACATCAGTGCAATAATTTAAAACTTAACATTTTTCAGTTGGGTAATTGGCTAGAGTGACTTAAGCTTTCACCATTTCTGTCATATTACCTCTACTGCAAAGGCTTTACCTCCCAGCAGGGAAACAGCAAGGGTATGTGAGTACTCCTCAGCTGTTTCAATGCAAAGTCCAATAGCTTAACTCAACCCCCTCTTGCTACGGCTCAATCTGAGCAATCAGACTTTGTACTGAAGTGTTTGCATGATCCAGTGCTGCCAGATCTCACCCAGGTGCTTCCAAGAGGAGGGCACCAACAGCCAGCTGAAGGTAGCAACCTTAGGAAGAAGAATGGACCGTGCATGTGTCAACATTTGCTGCACGCATGTTTTAACACTTACTTAATCTGATCTGATTGATGTTGCACTGACACTGATTACAGTGTGCTCTCAGGCATTTAGTTAAGCGTACATAAACCTCACATGGCCTCAGATTTGAGGGGGGGTGGATCCCACAAAACAAAAGCCTTACCTAGTAGCATGATCTATTTTGAATGAAAAATTTGGACAGAACATTCCCCAGGATCCTGCCTAGTAGCTAGTATTTCCTCTTGTATACAGCAGTGCTATCTCCTGATACCATGAATAAATTTGTGAGTTAGATTGTGCAGCCTACTCACTGCAAGTCAGATTCTGAGTACAATTACATTTCCAGCAGGACATCAAGTTGGAATGGAGTCACCCAAAATTTGCAAAGTTCTAAGGTGAATTCAAGTTCTGAAACACGCTATTGAAGCAGAAAAAGAAACCCCAAACCTAGAACTCCTCCACACATACCCACTAAGCTTTAGAAATCACTTCTCACACAAAATAACTTAGTTTTAGTTATGGTAACTTTGGTTGCAAATAAATTATCCTGTACTGCTGTCATTTTCCACCCACTCCCGAAAAAAAAAAAAAGTTTCTTTAGCAGTCACACCTTCAAGAAAGAGAACTCATTCATCGTATACTATCAGGCATCAAAAGCACATTTTTAGTAGGTTCAGTCACTGTAAACTGGTTTTAATCTCTGGGCATAAGATGTGCTTTATTATGAAAGTAGCCCCAAAGAGCAACACTGAGTCAGTCAAAGCAACTTGAAAGCAGTATTGCCTAAACCCTCTACTAGTCTTACTGCACCTGGTGTTTTTTCTTTGGTTGTTTTTTGTTACAATAGCATCCAATGCTTTCTGCAAAGTTTAAACTTAGATCCACTTACACATCCCGACAGAATAACCAAGCACACCATGACCCCCTCGCCTTTTTAAGGTGCAGAGGAAGAATAGTCTGGTCAGTCAGATAAACTGTCAAGACTGACGACAGAGTCCGAGCGTTAACGGAAAGGAAGACACCGTGTTTTCCAAGGCTCAGAAAAGCAAACTCTCCCAAACCCCCGGCGGCCACCCGGCTCCAAGCCGCCGCGCCGGCTTCCCTCCGGAGGGCCGACTCCGATTGTTAGAGCCTCACAAAGGCGCCGGAGCCGACAGCCCA